AGCAAGTAGTGGCGTGCTCCATCTTTGTTGAGTTGTGGCTGCTGACAACAGCAACGCCAGAGGGATAAAAAAGCAATATAGTGTACGCGGAGATCGCCAATCGAAAAGGGCAAAAAAAGGCGGAGGCTTTGCGTCTCTGCACGGTTATTATTATGCGTTCTCAGCCGTAGAACTGCTTACGGTGCGGGGGGGCGGTTTGTCCCTGTTTAGCGCCATGCCCTGTTTAGTGACCACAAAACCACGTCGCACCGCCGCACCCCCGGTAGTATAACCGCAATATAACTGTTAGTTCGGTTTAGCGACCTGCCTTAAATAGCGGCAACATCTCGTCGTGACACTGCTGTAGGTGGGGGCCGCTACACTTGGCCCCCCACTACTTGCTGCTGCTATATTTCGTATTTTCAACGTCTCCCAGCGAAAATTTGCTGCATGCTGCAACAACCTGTGGTGCACCCCGACACGACGAAAGCAAGACGGAGGGGGTGGAAAGTCGAAGAGTAACATCTCTTTGCACGCAAAGCAGAGCGCACGAGCGCATGCACGCTGAGTACGGCTGTGGGACTTCGACTTCAAAAATATCTCCGGCGGGGGGTTACATACAAGGGTCCATTTCCGAACACAACGTCTCACGTCTGTCTCTATTGTTGTGTGAAGTGTGAGCATATACGAGAAAAACGCCCCGACCTCTGCTCAGCACCTTCTAAAATCCATGTACTGCTGACTGGTCCGGTGGTGAGAAGTACCTGTACCACTTGCGGTGGTAGGGTCCGAGTCCCCGCAGATCGGACAATTGTAGAGGGAAGCACACGGGGTAGGGATACCACGCAATGATTCTGCGGCTTTCGCAAAAAAAATATAATAGCCCAGATTGTCCCTACCTATGGTTTCTGAGCCCTACTCCAGTATGGTATTTACGGTGTCCATATGATAAAAGCTGGTTATTGTTGCGGGCTTTAGTCTACAGCAGTGTACAAACGCTTCCATCGCTGGCACGACAGCACAGCTGGAGGCCCCCCTACATTCTCGGTGCTAGGCGCTTCCATGTATTCGTGCTTCCTAGCGCGAGGCGCTCCGATGCTTGCTTGCCGAGGGTACTGTCGGCAAAATAATCTGCGAGGTACGCAGCAAATAATAGTTATGAGTTGTGCTGTGCAAAACGCCACAAGAAAGAGTGAATTGGTCACCCGCGGTCCGTTCTTGTTCCCATTAAAGAAGTGATCACTCGAAGGAGCGGCTCACAAGCCACAGGACACACTACAGCAGCTCCCAGCGTAGGCCTAGATACCACAATCGAACTCTCCGATCGTGTGGTAAGAGGCCCCAGTGTGTGTGTGGTGCTTTCGAAAACGTTCGTTCGTATTCGGCTGAGGTAGGGGAGGGTGGGTGCAAATGTTGTTGTCAACGGTATTTCAACAGCATAGCGTGAGGTCCTACGAGCAACATAAGTGTGCGTAAACCGACCGCTTCGTGGCCCTCCGCCTCCCACTCAATGCTTCCGTCGCGTATTTATGTTCTTTCTGGCGCAAAAAACGAGGTCGTTCGTGTCCTGCAGGAAGTACGGCAAGAAGCTCCACGGGTACTCTAGAGTGCGCTGCGCCAATGAGCAACAAAATGCTCCGCAAAAGGACAACTAATATAACCGTCGAGTTGTTTTCGGTTTTGGAGTTGAAAGAGCAAAACCGAAAAAAACAACTCTTGAGTTTTCGTCCTCGCGTGATGGAAAACGATCTCCGTAGAGATAAACCCGTCTTGCCATGGGAAATCTGCCCTTCCTTTCTTTCCCTGCCTTGAATTTACCGCCGTCAACCGCTGCTCTCCACATGATGGATGGGCAGCACTCGAGTTTTTTTTCAGCCGAACGGATCTACATATCTCTCTCTCTCCGGAGTGAAAAAAACGACAGTTACATGTGAAGAGTGAAAAGCGCTGTCGTCGTGAGTACGACCAATAATAAAGGGGGAATTTGGAAGGAATACCGAAAACAGGATCGCTCTTCTTACTTCGTCGCTTTACAATGGCCTCCTCGCGCCTCTCTCAGGTTGTTGTCCTCATCTTCACCTGCCTATGGTTACACCTAAAACCCGTTGGATTCGACCATTCATTGTACGTAATAAACATCACGACGGCCGTTTCCCGTACGACACCCCTTCCATTGCGATGAGGCGTACCTTTCCTCGTGAAATGTGGGATACCTTCGCGACAGCGCAACAACGCCTAGGTAGCCGGCTGCAAGAACAAGAGCGGGCTGGGCTCCGCTAAGTCGTTATTTAGAAGAAGAGGGCGCACCCTGCGCCCAACACGTGGAGGCGCGTGGTCAAGGGCGAGGCTTAGTTCATTGCGGCTCTAACCGCACGTGATGCATCCGCCTCCATCGATGCTGAACGGCATGCCGTCGGACGCCAGGTTCAGTTGAATCTCTAGGCACAGAAGCTGAATCGCGAAACGCGCAAGGCCCATCGCATTCTCGACGAGTACCGTGCAAATATACCGTGTGGCACAACGCTGTACCCATCACCGCAAAACATTGGCTCGACTTACGCCTCGACTGGTGCGGTTCCCCCCCACAGAAGAGCGCGCAGCAAAAAATACAAGACCTCCAGCAAATACATGCATGTACGCAACAAAAACGTGGTTGGTTGCTGCCGGGTCCTCCGTCACCGGCATAAACGTGGGGACACCACCGCTCTTTCTGGCCAGGCCCTTCCGCACGGCGTGTCCATTTCACGCTGAGACATGGACGTAACTGGGGGTATCTCCTGCGTCACTTTCGACAAGGACGGTGTCTGGTACACCATGGACGAGATGGCACGATGCCGCCACAAGGGCTTCTCCCAGTGACACGTCGACGCCATGCAAACCCACGCCAAGAAGCTGCTCAAGACCCTCCCACTAGGCATGTTGCCTCTGGCGACCCCATACTGGATGTCAATCCGTGGTTCATCTCCAGCCACACGTCCACCGAGGGCATTGTGCCGAACACTGACGCCCAGGAGGTTGTCGGCCCTACCATTGATCTGGTTATTGCTACACAGAAGGCCCATGCCAATCGCGATGACACTCATCTACCATTTTGGCTGATCCCTCATTCATTACCATTTACGACGGCATACCGCCGCCGCCTCCAAGAACATCTAGAAGACGCCGGCACACGCGCAGCCACTCTTCTGACGCCTCCACCCAGTCCTTCGGTTCGTGCAACCACTCTCAAGACAACACCAAAAGAAAAGCCTACTCTTCACCCGACAGCAGCACAATACAATACCATGTGCAACGGTGGCGGGGACGGCCGACAACACCGCAATCAACGATACAAAGACGACAAGCCGGAGGAGCGCAAATCGTCTCCAAATTACCACTCCTTTCAGCTTTCATACGCCGGAGACAGGCCGTTACCTGCAACGAAACCTCCCAAACAGGCAACGACTGTAGTCAAGAATAACATTTTGCGACAGCTGCCATATTGGTAGCGTTAACTTGTTGTGTTCGATATACACACTAGACTATTAGCGCAGAACTCGTTGACGTCCTCGACGAGCGTAAATTAAATACTTGGCTCTATCCCCTCGCAATATAAAATCATGGTGCTTCCTCGGCCTAAGGACAAGAGGATATGCAACATATATATATATACCACAATTGGCCCGATCCCGGAATCGAACCCAGCCTATCGTTGATACACCCAACTGCTAGTTTCAGTACCTTTGACTGCCCGTCGATTACATACATGTAGATTAATAATCTTCGCTGTGTTACCCCCCCCCCAGAAGATATCGAAATACTACTACCTTCCTCAATGCACTCTTATTGCTACCCGCTTTTCGTTTCGGAACTTCCACTCTTCCCAAAGAAGATGATACAGCCTTCTCCCACATTTTGCATCCAATAACGTTAGCGCAAACGATGCACCATTCCCCCCTCCCCGATGTACCACATCCATCCGCAACCCCGCAACCCGACGACCCTGAAAGCGAAAAGACTATCGTTGTAGCCTCTCCTCTGTAGAAGCTACCGGGACGAACATGTCTGCTAAAAACACCGACACCGAACATGCCTCCTGCCTCTCGCCCCTTTGCCCCGTACGTCCTTCAAAACCCAGCAACTCGCACAATCGAGATGATGACAACAGCTCTGCTGTGACCATGCTGCCAATCAACCAAGTTTTGGCGGCCGCCTCCAGCATGCCCAACAACTGAGAAAAGACAGCGATGATGGTACATAATAAAAAACCACAATCCGAACATGGAAAGGCGTTGTCAGTATATTAGTCGCCCATAGCGAACCACACGTCTGAGGAGGGGACAGACGCTCGACCCCCGAAATAATGCCACCTATTGAACATTAAATATACACCCTACGTGAGTGATACGGTAGAAAAATCAACAAAACTCGCAGAAGAGAATTCGCAGCACCTTCCTCCGCGACCGGGCCGACGCGAAAACACAAACGTGCTGGAGGCTGGAGGCCGACGTGATGGTGATATCAGGTCAAATCTCGGACCTTGGAGTTGGACGCCAGCCACCAGCTCGGCACCCTTACTGCTTCTTGGGAAGGCTATGGAGAGCCTAGACTTTGGTATCGCCCGCCCTCCGTAAATGTAACCGAGGGTTCTCAGAGAGCAAGGATGGAAACACCCAGCAATGAATCACAGTGTATCGTATGTACCCCCTTCGATTCGGCCTACATGTGCCCCTATTGAGCATACATGACACACGGCGTCCAGGTCATCCCAACAAGAAAAGAGGTGGCACGACTCACGGACGTCCAGAAGCAGGTAATAACATATAACATAGATCTTAGTAATACAAGGAAGGTCTCCATTCTTCATGCGTCCAACGTTCCCAGCCCAACTACTCTGCCGTCGGTTGCTTTTCGATCAGGCTCAACGGGCAACGCTTGGCGGTACTTATGGGGAGTGGGCTTCGCTGTTGTTTCCAATTCAACTTCAAAAACTCCACTTCCGAGTCCTTCAGCAACAAAACGAGATCCTCGCCTATCGCTTTCTATTCAAGCCCGACGAGTCCCCCCACAACGGCTGCAATCACCACCAGGGGACCACCGAACGCCATCCCCGGTCGAGCAGCGCCATTGCGCTCCGACCACTCCTCAGCTGTAGTTGGGGCGGCCGTGGGGGATGGGGTGGGGGGCCAGACGCATTCCGAGCCTTCCGGCCGGAGCTTGTAGGTGATCGGTACGCAGCAGGGGCATGCTGCCAGCTCTAGATTTCCCCCGGACTGGTCGGTGAAGGGCAGAAGGAGTGTCGAGGGTGAGGAATGGGCGAGGGGTGTGTTTGAGACGAAAGGACTACTGTAGGCCGTCAAGGAAATTCAGGACGTTGCAAAGGGTAGTGGAGCGGCGAAGCTAAGACATGTGCAAGGTAGGATGGTAAACTCGCATTGCATTTTCATGGGTAGGAAGGGTAGGATTGTCAAGAAATCAGCTGCTCCAAACGATAAGTGGAGAAATAGACTATGAAGGTATGACATTTAGTCAAAGGATGCGAGCACGGGTGGGAGTAAAAATGTCATCATCTTAGGCATGGGGGTCAACGGATGGGAAGCTTGGTTCTAGGTTGGCTTTAGGCTTTCATCGGCAGCCTTCAACGAAGCTGCAGGTGACCAGCAGACAATGTTAGTCCTCAGGGTCGTACAGTTGCAGCACGATATAACGAGGTCCGGAATCGAAGGGCCGAACGAACGCTATCACAGCCGGGGCGGCAATCCCAATACGCAGCACTAGCGGTGACGGGGTTTGTTGCTTTACAGAAACGGCCAAGTACCCTGAGCCGGGTGCCCCCGCTTGTTAGCTACACGGTCACAAATTTCGAGTCGTGGTTGAGCCATGTTGGACCTCCCTCCTTCATTCTTATCCCGAGGAACGTATGAGAGAACATGATTCTATTTCCTCGCGAGGTTGTGGGTCTAGTTAGACAGGTTGATAAACGTAACGTCCTCGACCGAGTGTGTACAGGACGCCCCACTACAGAGCCTGGGAGCTAAGAACATCAGACTAGAAAAATATTTACCGCAGTAGTTACAAGTTTTGGTAGGAGTCCTGAAAAACCTTGTTTAACCAACATAGGTACTATTATCATGTCGGGATACGTACCCTACAGAAAAAATGAAACGAACCTCGGGCAAAAAAGAGGTTATGAAGTATAATATTGGCTCGTACTACTGTACGTGGTTCTTTCAAGCGCCACACCGGCTTCAAGATGCAGATCGAAGGAATCACGTGGAAGAATACGTCGTGTACGCGACAGGCGCCATATGGTGCACGCTTTTCCGTCTCGTCCGCAGCTCTGGCTGGCCCACAAGACCGAGCGCACTATCTAACAACGTCGAAAAAAACGAGAAAATGGAACAGCCAGACGGCCGTTTTACATGTTTGTCCGCAGCAACTGCGACGGATTCGCGAAATTCCGCACGCGAAAATTCCGCACTCACTCAGCAGCGAACTTCCGTCGTCCAAGATGGATACACAACACCCGTATCGCTGAGGTGGCAGTTGCATTCGGGTTGTTTTACAAAAATTGGTGTCAATATATGACGGCAAGCAAACAATAAGCCGCCGCTGGTACGCAGGCCGGCAAGTGGCACAGGCGTATATAGTCGCGACAATATTTCCTTCGACCCCTGGTAGACCGCGGTTCACAGAACAATCGCGCTGGTTGGCTATCGTGTACGCCCAAGTTCTATCCCTCTTTGCAGCCCCACGCCTGAGGCTCACCGTCGCGTATGCCTCGCTGTCGAACACGCACTGTCGGCAGTCAACGTGGCCAGCGATGTCGCACCCGACTCCCTGGCAACCGCTCTCGTAGTACGTCTGAAAAGAACGAAATATGCCAGACACACGAATCCATTCCTCGAATTAAAAGGCCGCCCGAGACGGTAGGGTTCTGGATACTACATACTTTCACGTCCCTCACACAGTAGGCTAATTTGGGTTGAGGTAGGGTTCCGTGACGTGTGGAAATGTCCCAGGCAAAAGGTCGCGTCGTATTCTCCACAAAACAAACTGCAAATCAACGGGGAGGGTCATTGTGACGAATATCAGCTTATGCGGCTTGTTCACGATACCACCACGAGACTATTCTTGACTAGAGGGATGGTGGGACAAGACTACCCGCCTCTCAATCCAAGCTTGCAGGGCTGAACTACCATCTTTCTCGTAACGTTCGACCCCGCATCAATACGACACATCATGCGCAGTACCAATGCACGACAACACCGCATGAAACGAAACAATGTTACGGTTGGATGAGAGATACAATTAGGTAAGAGCTTCAGCTCCGGCTGGGCTTGTCATTTAGGGTTGAGAGGGTTGTGTGAGGCTGCAGTCAAGGCTTTGGCATACTTCCTTCTGACCATTGGACCGGTCTAGTGTCACCACTGCCTTTTTTGTCATCCATCGATCCTGAAGTTCGCTAACATTGTCGGGTCTCAAACGAATATGTTCCTGCCTTCCGCGGCGGGAGCAATCTGCAACATGTCGCAGTGTAGAGAAGAAGGTTACCGTAGTGCCATATACCGCCTGCCGTGTCTTACCCCGATTCCGTCATCCCAGTCTACCGCGCTGGCGATGTCCACGCAAAGCAAGGCGCTGCTGTTGCCTCCCGCGCTGGTTTCGCACGGCTCCATCGGAATCTGTCAACATGCACATGTATACGAATCAGTGGAAAGTACAATGTGAACACGCACGCGTATGCTACCGAGTTCCGCACCAGAACTCTCGCTGTTGTTCTTGTCGTTATCGCGGTAAGTTCGGTTGCTGTTCGTGTCCCTTGCGGTGCTGCTCTTGTTGTTGTACTTGTCGCTCTCAAGTTGTTTCCACTGCAATTTCTGTCAGGCCTCCTACGTGTACCCTATTGTAAAAACAAAAATCATTTTTCAGCATAAGCTCTTCTGCAGCTTTGGCGGTCAACAATAGGCACAACATACGATAACACCCAACGATGACCAGACGAGAGTCATACTCATTTCTCTAACCTCCCTCCCCGATCGGTCGGGTGGTGCGCAATCGGTCTACAGCAGTACAATACAATGCTGTCCGCCAAGCATCAACGGCGCCACGGCAAACCCGACTCGGCCGTTGGGTGCACTGGAAGTTCTTTCTGTATCCACCAGCAGTCCTTGAAGTACGCCTTTTGATGGGCATTGGGGAGAGCTTCTCTCCGAAACAGAACAATACTATGTAAATAAGATATGACCCGAAGGTGTAACTGAAAAATCAACTTCTCGTAAATATTGGCGAGGCCTCACAACGTACTGTAGTAATGTATATTTTTCCACCCACCCCGCTTCGTCCTAGACGGGCTCACCGTGGGCGCCAACGTTGAATTCGTGTCCCCTTCCCCCGGTGCCGGCGCGGGTGTGGATGCGTTCCCCTTCACATGTTTAGAGGAGAGTCAGGAGAAGAAGAAGACGCACGCAAGATTGCGAACTCTAAGCCCGCCAGAAAAGGAGCGGGAAAATGCTAGCCTTACTCAGCGCAATCCAAGGACTGTGTGATACCCAGGACGGCCCAGGGGTGTAAAAACACAAGGTACAGCACTGCTATCCTTGGGTGCTGCAGTGGTGAACAGTCCCTTCTCTTAGGTGGTCCATGTAGTAAGCAGCAAAGCACGCTAGACCTCACGATACCTTCTGCGAATATTACGACGACAAAGCAAAGTAGAGTCCTGTTGCGCCACTTCATATTTTACCCAAAGCCCTTTCCATCCATACCCGAAAGATCGATTCAACACTACCTGTGTGGACAACCATCCTCTTTTCTCTCCGTCTTTACCACGATCTGGATGTTTAAGGCCCTCACATATCTGCCTTTATAACGTTAGGCCCGTGGCCACGAAAGTGGTGTCGTAGGCTTGAACATGTAGTGCCAACAACTGTTGTTGCTCTGTGGCGATGACAGTAACAGGACAATAATAAACGAGGTATATACCTCGACGGACACCGGTGTGGGTGCAGAGACTGGTGGTGAAGAGTATGCGAACTCGCAGTCGATGTCTCCTCCCATCTCGTAGGTGTCTGGCACGCAGCAGGGGCAATCTACGAATGGCACCTGTTTTTGGACGAACAGCATTCACCACACAGAAGAAACAAAGGGGAAAAAGTGCGTGTCGTGACACATTCCGCCATAGGCTCCCACTGTACCCACCTGCTGAGGAAATGTACAAATCGACTGCCTTTTCGGAAGGTTGCTTTCATCAAGGACAGGCCAGGTGCACCTTGCGGGGGCGCTAGAAATCCTATTGTGTGGGGGATTGCTATTTTCGTACAGACTGATGGACCCCAAAGCATATGCCATGGTGAACGGTGTACTCTCCTTATTGTCCCTTCCAAAGCTTAGAAAAAATATAAACTGTTGTTCGATATCTGTTCAGAAACGACGGGACAACAATGTGCGCCAGACAGCCAACGAAGAAACTAGTGCGGTGGGACCACCTCTCGCGCTCGCGCTCGATACTGTACAGCAGGCTTGTTTGGGCAAGGCTCTCTTGTCACGACAAGGCCTACGATGCTGCTCATGTCATACTTCTTCTTCACCTCTTCGCCGCCTAGAATTGTCTCACTGAACAGGCCGCGGTTGAAAACGCACAGCCTGCAGTTGCCGACGCTGCATCAGCACCAAACCAGCGGTAGAGGCGGCAGTGGCAACAGCAATGGCAACAAGCACGCGGACGTCGTAGGATGGAGTCAAAGGAAAGAGGACAAACGAATACACGTTACTAGATTCCGGGAAGCAGTTAACCTCAAGTCACCACACATACATGGACGAATGGCCTGCGAAAGGTTTGTGCGCTTTGGTTTCCTAGTAAAACGTCCCACTTCACAACAACGAACGTGTTGTGCAACGCGTTTTTCGTATCAAGCTTCTGACTTGTTGACTGGTCAGGGGGAGTAGATATCCACCGAGTAGCTGTTTGTTGGACCCCTCGGTGCTGTTGCTGGTCGTACAGCCCCTACATACTGCCCTCTCACCCGCCGTGGGCACAGCCAACCACGCTTATACTTTCGGCGTCAGGTCCGCAGCCTTCCTCGTCGTAGAATGCGCCCGCTCCGCTGGCCTTGTCCACCGCCGTAACCATATCGACTGTCGCCAAAGCACGAGATCAATTTGTTATTGTTCACGCACGGCAAACCGAAACGAGGTTAAGACCGGCGGGTTATGGTCACTGAGTTCGGTCAGAAATCCGTTTCGATTTGTTTTTTTTGGTCAGCATGTCGCGCGTACCGCCGTTTGCGGCAGTACGAGATAGGTGAGCTGTGGAAAATCTGTGCAGATAAGGACACCAGCTGGAAAAAACAGCTACGGCAGGCCCTGAAGCGACGTCTGCAGGTTACCCGCCCCATTCTTCGGGTAGGGGTCAAACCCTCCGAATCCTCACATCAAGCACGGCATACCCGTGTCTTCGAGATCGGGCTGGCATTTCCCCCCGGCACGCAACGACACATGCTAGGTGAAAAGAAGGTCTACTGCGGCCTGTTTGAATCTGTCCATTCCCTTCCGAACTCTCGTAGGTGGAATTTGTCAGATATTTGGGCTCGGGAGATCTACGGACGACGCGACGGCCGTATCCCTTCTACGACCCAGCGAATATCCAAGAGTTGGGTTGGATCAGTCGAAACCGTGCAAGGACTTGTCTCACGACTATCCCCTTTTCATGGCACTGGTGACGTTCACCATTGGTCACTTAGGTGTCTTTCCTCGTCTTGTCATGTTGCGAATTTGGTACATCAGTCCAACGAGATCGGCAAGCACTCTGTCAAATATTACAAAGATGTTGCAAGGTACGCGCGTAACAGGCCCTACTTCTACCTTTTATCCAGGGGCAGCAGTAGGGTCCCACGGTTGTCCCAATGCCAACCCTTCTATGTTCTCATACAACAGTGTTGATATGTTTCAACACGTCCACTCCCTGAGACACTAGCTGCACTCTTACTCCCTCTTCTTCACGCGCACGATCGCCGATCACCACTCAGACATAATCTCCGCTGCAACGAACCGACTGAGCTCCCTTTCTCTCTCGCATTCTCTCTCTCACCGCACGGAATTTCGCTCTCGTTGGACCACGTGTACGGCCTCTCGCAGGGAGCCGTTGGGCTAGCCGTCGGCGCAGCCGTTGGTACCAAGGTGGGAGCTACAGTAGGAGGCGAAGTTTGGGCAACAATTGGCTGCTCCGTAGGTGGTGCTTGGACGACCATTGGCTCCTCGGTAGGGGAGGTGGATGTATTCGAACTCAACGTGGGTGTTGGAGTCTCACGCGCAGGGGCGGATGCATTCCAACTCAAGGTAGGTGCTGGAGTCCCTCGCGCAGGGGCGGTTGCATTCCAACTCAATGTGGGTGCTGGAGTCTCCCGCGTAGGAGCTACAGTGCTTCGGCTGGTGGGCACTTTAAACATATTTGGGGCAGAAAGACAGGTGCGGACAAAAGGAGAGGCGTCGATTGGCATCGGGGAAAGGTATGGGTGATTGATGCACCCGTGTGTTGGGTTGTGGATATCAGCTTTGTTTCGTGACAGTAAACACACCGTTCTGGCCTCTACCTACCTCATTAGCTGCTTGTGCCATCTCTCGACATCCCTCCCCCCCTGTCACGCGTGTTATTCGGAAAATGCGCCGATTGCGTGGATATTGTTGTCGCAATTTGTAGCTGGTTCACAGCCTATGTTTTCTCCTCCGAAACTGACCTGCGGTTTCACCACGATTGGACAGATAAAAACTATTGTACGTACACACTTCCGAATCGATTTTCAACTGTATGAGGAAGGCCAAATAACCAGAGCTGTCCTCGGTAATTTCTCCGCGGTGCTTTTCCCGCGGAAATATGGCGGAAAATATCGCTCCCCATGTTCCCGTGAAACGTCGGAATTGCGGTTCCTAATGACACAGGCTTCCCTCGGTAGAAGGAGACCCAGGACGCGGTAGTCTTTACCCACTACCGGGGGCTGGCAGTTCTCGTTCTCGAGATTTGCTCAAGGAGAAAGCCTCAGATGAGAGAGAGTGGAACCACCGGAGGGGAGAGGGAAGGGAGGACCGAAGGCCTCCAATTCCCATCTCGACACGTGGCGCTGAAAGGGTCGTTTTCGTAGTTGGGTTTCTCGCGGTTCAACCGTCCGCGAGATACTCCGCTCGGATCGTATATTGTCCTACTCTTTTCATGTGCACCAATGATTTCAGCATGTCCTCCAAATCACCTCCCCCTTTATTCGCCACAAAATACATCCGCGCTAGAGATGCATTTTGACGTTGTGAAGGTATTGAGGGAACTACGTAGAAACAGGTGGGAGTAGCTATCTCCTGTCGTGGAAGATCGTAGAGCCTTGTCGGAATCTGTTGCTTGCGTGTTGAGTGCTTGTCGAGTTAATCAAACTCCGTTGAACATGTGGTTCATAGCAATAGCACACGGAAACGATTCTGAATGAACCAAGCCTAAACAATTTCTAGGGTGGCCCCACTTTCAGTGGGTGGGCGTCAACAACGGCGGTGGATTGGCGTCGGTGGATCAATGTAGTCCCGGTAAAATTGCTGGGCACAGAGTGAATCACCAAGTCATTCTGTGCATTGAATAGCGCCGATCCTTGTGAGTAGGGCCCGTTGGTGCGCCGGACACACACCGGCGTTTCATTCAGGGTCTTCCACTGTACACTAGATTGCGGTCACGTAAGATATTGTACAGAACACATGCTCTCAGCAACGAAACATGAATTGAAGCTTGACATTGCCATGAAAGGGACCATGGCATCGGCTAGAGAGCAGTTACCCGACACGTCATGGGAACTGGTAGCTCTATGTATACTTACACATGTCACGCGGGGATCAGGCGCTTGCTGGACAAGAGTGCAACAAAGCATTTGTGGCTATTGCAGTATGTAGCTCACAATCATGGAAAAGGTCGCGTGGCACACCGTGTTGGGAAGCTGATTCCGTCTATTCATCTCGAATTGATTTTCGTCCTTTCGTCCAAAACTACAATCCACACAAACAAGATGTAAACGATAACGAACCTAGAAATCGACAATGAAGACGAGTTGCCGGTGAAATGATCTGTCGTTCATTGCCTTGAAACTGTGGGGAGTACACACTAACACGTGGTTTCCTCTCGTTTCATGAACAGTTCCCACAATAATATGTAACTGTCTTCAGACAATGTCCTGGCCAATGTCTCCCAATTTCATTGACAAACAACACGGGTGTACCTAAGTATACATCCATCCCCTCTCCCCCCCCCCCGGTGTTTGCCATCGGGGTTGGGTTTTTTGTCGCTTGGCAACGACGTTGTAAAACAAGCCGCCGCCCCCGGTGTTTGCCATCGGGGTTGGGTTTTCGTCGCTTGGCAACGACGTTGTAAAACAAGCCCCCTTCGGTGTTTGCCATCGCGATGCCCTCCTTTGGTGTTTGCCATCGGGATTAGGTTTTCGTCGCTTGGCAACGACGTTGTAAAACAAGCCAATTCACTTCGTGAACTTGGCAACCAGGTTACCGTTTGTTTTTTACCTCTGTTTTTTTTTTACGGTAACCATAATGGTGGTCGAGTAGATCATGTTGTGCGGGGTGGAGAACCCTCACTCCGCGCGAGGGGGATGATCGCACCACGTTGTGTTAAAATGGTCAAGTATCCTCGAGGCAGTTACACAGCGCATATAACTGTCTCTGGAAGTGAAAGCACCAGAAAATCAATTAAGTCATACAGTTGGCGCCCGCAATTAAGAAATATTTTGTTAAGAAACTGAGGCTCACTTTTTCACGAAAAGTAAGAAAATAGGGTTAAGAAACATTGCTCAATCTGAGTCACACAATTAAGAAATATCTCAATAAGAAACACAGCAGCGACCGCTGCCCTACTACATAAGAAACGAGGGGTTGCGGGGGAGTGTGTCGAATAAGAAACAAACCCCACAGCTCTCTCGCTCTTTCCCCCTCTCCCCCTACCCCCCCCCCTCCCATAGTGCATTATTATTAGTTGTACGCCGAGGGGGGGGTGTTTTTTTTGCGGCGCCCCCTCCGCCCCCCTGCGGGCTCTGCGCTCTGCTCTTGCTGGCGCTAAAGCTCTGATTTTCGTTGTTGGCATGTCAGCGTGCGGGTGAGGTACCATGCGGTGTTCATGCATTTGTTTAGTTTCAGCCATCACTCATGAGGGGGGTACAAGACCTTGTAGCGATAGCAAGACGTTGCCGTTGAATACATTTCGCTTCTAGGGAGTGGCCTTACGTGCAGCCGTCGGTAGTGAGAATCGGGGTTGAGTACGGGGGGCGAGGAAAGCAGAGAAATAATAAATTGCCGACTTAAGAAATTCAGCAGGATTTGTCTGCACGAAAAAATAAGAAACATGATATAAGAAACTGAACGACATACGCTGAGGTTATAGCCCACAATAAGAATTCGAGGCTGGACCTGAAATAAGCGTTTCTTAATTGCGGGCGCTAACTGTACGCAGCTGTCATCCGTACGCAAGGGAGTAAGCACAAGACGCCGAACACCCTTAGCAGGATGCAGCGCACCCTTCATGCGACTCGCCGAATACCTCACGGCGCTTCGCGCTTGGTGATGTGAGAGCCTAGTCCGGTGAGAACCCGGCGTGCTCCGTCCCGGCTTTGTAGAGATGCGAGGTCAATGGTCTAACGACTACGGCATGCACGACTATGAGTACACCCCCCCCCCCCCCCCCTCTTCACAGTCACTGTTTATCCTCCATGTCTCGAGAGTACGGAGAAAAATACCAGGCATTTGTCCCTTCATCAATTAACTTTGACAAACAAGTGGGCTGCATAGCAACGGCAGAACACGCGCTCTATCTCTGGCATCGTTGCTCAACCCCTTGCCTCGATCGTTCTCCTTCTAGTTCGGCAGGGTGATGCCTCGTCACACCGCTGGTTAGTGATGCGAGCCGGGGCTTCTTTGGGAGTGGTGATATCCAAACCACAACGGGTTCGGCAAGAAGATTTGTTTACGTACCAGTTTCCAATTATTGGAAAAAATGAGGCGGGTGGGGGATTCGAACCCGGGTTCTCTTCCACCGAAAGCAGACATATATCTCCGTCGGCACCAAATAGGACACAGGCTTCCTACAGTGGAATGAGACCCAGGTCGCCGTGTAGTCATTACGGGGGCTGGCAGTTCTCGTTCTCGAGATTAGGTACGGAGAGTTTCTCAGACGAGAGAGAGTGCCACCGGAGGGGAGAGGGAAGAGCAGTGCTCTGCCAAGTTGGCGTCTTATCGTTAATGATGATGCCAAGTTGGCGTCTTATTTTTAATGATGAAGACTAGAATACCGAACCTGTGTACATACGTACACACCCCCGGGGCAGGGTTCGCCGCGTCATCCCGGAGGGAACGTGAATGTGTCAGTATTATGTGGAAACACTCCCCCCCCCCCCTGGTCCGCCATCGGGGTTTGGGTTTTCGTCGCTTGGCAACGACGTTGTAAAACAAGCCGCCCCCCCCCGGTGTTTGCCATCGGGGTTTGGGTTTTCGTCGCTTGGCAACGACGTTGTAAAACAAGCCCCCCACTCGGTGTTTGCCATCGGGATTGGGTTTTCGTCGCTTGGCAACGACGTTGTAAAACAAGCCAATTCACTTCGTGAACTCGGCAACCAGGTTACCGGTTTTTTTTTTTACCTCGTTTTTTTTTTTTTGGCGGTAACCATAATGGTGGTCGAGTAGATCATGTTGTGCGGGGTCGAGAACCCTCACTCCGCGCAACGGGGGATGATCGCACCACGTTGTGTTAAAATGGTCAAGCTTCCTCGAGGCAGTTACACTGTGCTTACAACTGTCTCTGGAAGTGAAAGCACCAGAAAATAAATTAAGTCATACGTAGCTGCCATCCGTACGCAAGGAAGTAAGCACAAGATGCCGAACACCCTTAGCAGGATGCAGCTCACCCTTCATGCGACTCGCCAAATACCTCACGGCGCTTCGCGCTTGGTGATGTGAGAGCCTGGTCCGGTGAGAACCCGGCGTGCTCCGTCCCGGCTTTGTAGGGATGCGAGGTCAATGGTCAAACGACTACGGCATGCACGACTATGATTACACCCCCACCCCCCCCTATAGAAACTCTGAGAACGAACACCCTGCCCCCATTACCGAACAGGTGATAACGCGCAAGATCGCGGTCCCCGTGCTTCCTCGTTCCCGCGGAGTACATTACCGCGAGGATGAGTAAACCCCAAACACCACAGAGAAAAACCAAATGATTTATCTC